GAGTTGGGGTCCAAGTGCTGTTCCCAGGCGTCCAGCCTCTGCAGTGGGGGGCATACAGGGCTTGAGGGTGGGGACCGGGGACAGCGGCGAAGGTCCACCAGGTTGCAGTACACAGGGGCCTTTGACATGAGGGTCTGGGGTCTCGCCTACAAGGAGAGGGGGAAGAAAGAGGTCGTTATTCTGCTGGGCCCCTCCCCAGTCTCCTCTCTAACCACCCCCCTCCTCTCTCCACCACCATTTTCTCACCACCAGCTCCCGTCTGGGTTGACCCAGGTACTGAGGAGGAAACCCTAGTCCCCAGCAGTTGTTTTTTTTTTCTTGCGTTTTTTTTTTTTTCTTTGACTCCCTCCCTCACAGACTTTGCTTTTCTCCTCACTTCCTGTTGCCAACTTCCCTCCTCCCCCACCCCACCCCCACCGGAGGACCTCAGGAAAGGGGAACAGGCTTTTCTCCAGTGTGGAGGGCGGGGCAGCGTCCCACCCTCATATCCTCCAGAGTAAGAGGGGCCAGAGAGGGGTCAGAGAGTCCTGCTAGCTAGCAGAGTATGAGAGAGGGGCCATTTTTCACCCACTAGTAAGAGAGGTAAGGAGCCAAATCTTCAGGAAGATCAAAGGAGTTACATCTCTAGAGAAAGGAGTTACATCTCTAGAGGAAACTTGCTGGTAACCTGAGCTAGCAAGACAGAACACAGAAAAAAAAAAAAAAACCAACCCTGCACTGGGCCAGGAGTCAGGAGGCTGAGACAGAAGAGCAGAGCTAAGCAGGCCTTTCAGGCCCCCTATCATTTTCTAGTTTCCACATACCCTCAGGATCTTTGCTGCTTGCTGTCCCAGAGCTAGAATTCCATCTCTATATTTCAGGGCTGTCTCTTCTTATTCAGATTCAACTCTGTCACTTCCTCAGAGATGCCTCCCTAGACCAGTCATCCTTCACCACATTTAGCTTCTTGGTAGCACTTATTAGTTTCAAAGGCTATCTTATTTATGTGTTCATCATCCCCATGGGAATCCCTGGAGGGCAGAGATTCTGTCTGTCTTGTTTCCCAGTGTGCCTAGAACTGAGCCCAGCAGTGACAATTGCTCCAATGAGGTGCTATGACTCACCATGTGGGCATCGGTCTTTGTCAGCAAGTTTTCCTGGGAAAGGGATCTTCCACTTGGTCCTTCCTGGAAGGGCTTCAGGAGGCTGGGCCTCAAGTTGGTAACACTGACACTTCTACACATTTTAGGGGGAAGGGGAGGAGGCTGCTCCCATGTAGCCTGGGCTCTGCCTGGGGGTTCCTGACACAGGTTCATCTCCTCCAGGGAGCCAGGAAATAACTTTGGCCCTGGAAACAGAGAAATGGGAAGAGCTGGCGGCAGGGTCCCCCCAGGGTTCTTGGCTAGGTCCCCCATCCTGGGGGCTCACAGGAAAAGAGCAGGTGGAAAATTACATGAAATCTAGAAGGCTAAAGACTAGGAAGGAGAGGCAATGGGGACACCACAGAGGGGAGGAGTGGGAGTGGAGGGTCAGCAGAAGCTTGGGGAATGAGATCTTTCCGATAATTCCCAGAAGCCAGGGAGGCAGGAAGGCGATGGGGGAGGACCTACTTACCAGGAGTCCAGAGAGATCGGCTGGGGGTGACAGTCGTTGGGCTGTGGGAAAGGCTAGATTCCTCTATCATGTAGGCAGCTGGGACAAAGACGGGGCGAGAGGTGGATGGTGCTCCCAGGCGCCTTGCCAACCACCAGTCTGAGTTGGTCTTTCGAAGCAGTAGGAACCTGTCTCCTTCAGCCAAAGACACCTGCCGCCCATCTGCCCCCGTGTAAGTGAAGGCATAGAGGGCACAGAGCTGGGACCCCCGAGAAGGGCTTCGGGATCCCAGCCCTAGGTGTCCCCAGGTGCTCGGCCACCACCGGCCCGATAGCATCGCTGTCAATACATCACCTATGGGAAAATGGGGTGATGGAGATCCAGAAAAAGACAGGACTGACCGCTTGCAGGCAGAGAGACATGGTTCTAAGAGCAGTTTGGGGCAGAAGACAAGAACAGAAACCCTGTCATGAGAAGAGACAGTAAGACAGAAGACCCAAATGGGGGTCAATAAGAGGTTTTGGGGTCTGAGAAGTCCTGGGTGATGTGTCTGAGGAGGAAGTACACAACTAAGGTGAGAGAGGATGTGGTCAGCAGCGCTGCGAGACCAGCGCGGCAGGAAATCAGAGGAGGGGGTCTAGTTGGGTGATTTTCCTCCAAGTACCTTCCGGGGCCCAACAGAAGATCTAGGGACAGGAGGAGCTGGCCCTGAATGGTGGTGGGACTGTTGAGCTGGACACAGGAAGATGAAAAGAAAGAATCAGGTTTGAGACAGAACACAGGCAAAGAGTTAATGGGTGACCAAGACACAAAAATTTGTGACCCTTTATTAAATTTACACAAGGGCCAATATTTCCATTTCTGATGGCCACAGACCTGAAGCTGTGTGCTTCCCGTGCAGAGTCAGAAAAACATTAAGACAGAGAAAGAGAGAGCCAGAGAAACAGTGAGATCAAATTGGAGAAAGTGGTCAGGAGAGACACAGAGGGGTTCAGTTTGAGGAAAAGGTAAAAGCAATTTAGGATGTATTTTGGGGAGCTGAGAAACACTGATGTGATCCTTGGTACATAAGCCTCTTGGGTGGGACCCTACTTTAGTGTGTGGGTTCATTCACTCATGCTCTTAACAAGGGTTGGCTGACTGTGTGAAAAGAACAGCGTCAGCTACTGGAGGTAAGAGAAGGGAAGGAGACAGACACAGCCCTTGCCCTCTCAAAGCTTAAAGACAGATATCAACTAATGACATATTAAATGTATTAATTACAATTGAATCAGGGACTATGGACAGATAGCCCAGGATTCTTTGACTGCTTATGGGGGTGGATGGAGGATTAATGTCAGTTTCTCCCTGGTGGAAAGTGGGAACTGATCCCCCACTGTCTATTGCCAGAACTTTAAGCCCCAGAACTTCATGCTTCCTCCTTACCTGATCACTCCTCTTCTCCCCTTCGCCCAGTTTCTCTACTGCAAGACACAGGCTTGCTCTCTGGCTTTGGAGACTTCGAGTAGGGAGATCCCCACCCTCTTGGTGACATCAGAGAGCTAGCTCTCCTCCCCTGACACATGATCTGAGGCCCGGGCTGCCAGTACTGGGATTCTGCCTTGGTGATCTTCTCCTTAATTTGCTCCACTTTCAACATGTGGAGAACCTTGCCCCTCCACTCTCCCCTCCCACATCCAAAATAGTGACCAAGGAAATGGCTACCCACTCCAGTACTCTTGCCTGGAGAATCCCATGGACAGAGGAGCCTGGAGAGCTACAGTCCACGGGGCACAAAGACTTGGACACGACTGAGTGACTAACACGTTTTTCCTTATTCATTTATTCACTCGTCTGGTGGTTGTTAAGTGCTCAAATCTCATCCTCTTCTGCCTTCTCTCCTGCACTTTTTCCTCTTTATTGACTCCTTACCATTAATTTTAATTTTTTAAATGCATTTCTTTTTTTATTTTATTATTTATTTAACTGACTTTTGGTCGTACTGAGTCTTCATGGCTGCACTTGAGCTTTTTCAGAGTTACAGAGGGCAGGGGCTCCTCTTGGTTGCAGTGCGGGGGCTCCTCTCTGCAGGGGCTCCTCTTGGTGCACAGGCTCCAGGTGCCTGAGCGTCAGCAGATGCAGCACTCAGCAGCTGTGGCTCCTGGCTCTAGAGCACAGGCTCAGTAGTTGTGGCACATGGGCTTAGCTGCTCTGAGGGATTTAGAATCCTCCCAGACCAGGGATCAAACCTGTGTCCCTTGCATTAGCTAACAGATTCTTATCCACTGTACTACCAGGGAAACCCTACCATTAGCTTTTAAACATATCAAAGTCTCTCCCATCTTTAGACAAACTTCCCTTCATTTACTGTACTCCCTAGTTGCTACACTCTCTCTCTCTTCCTTTTCAGAGTCAAATTTCTTGAAACAGCTGCCTACACGTGGAGGTCTCTATTTCCTCTCCCTCATTCCCTCACCTTCGCAAGCTCACTCCTCACAGGGTGTGGCCTGCCTCTGCAGTCCTTGTGTTGCTTGACATCTCAGCAACAGCCAGCACAGCTGACTTTTCTCTCCTACAAACATTGCTGGTGTCCCTCTTACCTTTTTTTTTAGCAATTCCTTCTCTGTTGCATACAGAGAAGGCAATGGCACCCCACTCCAGTACTCTTGCCTGGAAAATCCCATGGACAGAGGAGCCTGGTGGGTTGCAGTCCATGGGGTCGCAGAGAGTCGGACACGACTGAGCGACTTCTCTTTCTCTCTTCTCTGTTGCATAAGGAACAACTTTGCTTGTTTCTTAAACCCCAGAAGTCTAAGAGCCTGTGCCCTTTGCCTTCTATATACCATTGGTGGTCTCAGTCTCTCCCCAGCTCAAATGACCTCCATATTGTCACTGGCACTGTATCTCCAGTCCAGATTTTTCTCTGGAGCTCCAGTCTAATCCATTGTCCACTGAAAAACTCCATTTGGGTTCTTCACAGGCACCACAAACATAGTATGTTCTGAATTGAACTTGTCAGCTTCCCCCACAAACTTGTTTCTCTCGCAGTACCACTATTAAGTTAATTACTTAATCTTTTGGGGGGGCCACACCATGCGGCTTGTTGGATCTTCACCGACCAGGGACCGAACTGGGGCCATGGCAGTAAAAGCCCAGAATCCCAAAACCTAGGCTACCAGGGAACTCCCAAGTTAAGTTTAAATTTATAAATATTCATTGAATGCTTACTATCATACATACCAGGGCAAGAACAGTATGCTAGGCATTATCAATTAAGATGCCCTCTCTTAGGGAATTCCCTGGTGGTCCAGTGGTTAGGACCCGGCCCTTCCACTGCAGGAGGGAGGGCTTCCATCTCTGTTTGGGGAATTAAAATTCTGCATGCTGTGATGCATAGTTAAAAATAAAATTGCTGCCCTCTCGTTAATGATTAAAATATAGTGTGATAATCACAATGCCAGGGGAAGCACTACCATCTGCTGGAGCACACAGAGGGTGTACCCAATTGCCCACGTCAGAAACCTAGCAGCCAACCCTAATTGTCTTGTTTCTTCAGCACTCGTATTTAGCTGATTACTAAATCTTTGCAATCTACTTCCTTTAATCCCTATAACTACTGCCTTTTTAAACCCAGATAATATAATTTCTGAGCTAGTCTCCTTGCATATAGTTCTGCTCCTCTCCAGTCCATTCCTGGCACAGTGATGCTTCCAAAACATAAAAATGCCTTGCCACTCCCCTGACTTAACCATTCAAAGGTGTCCCATTTTCCTCAGAGTAAAGTCCAGATTTTACAGTATGGTTTACAGAGACTTTCTCCTGTTAGCCTAGCATTTTCACACTCCCCCCTACAAACTCCATATTCTAGCCACATGCTAATTCCTCACATTCCTAAAATGCATTGAGGTCTCTGGTCCTTTGCATAAGTTGTTCCTTCTGCCTGAAACACTTCCTCTCTCCACTTTCACCAATCTTTATCAGACTAATTCTTACTCATTAGTTAGATCTCAGTTGAAAGATCATTTACACAAGAAAGTCTTAACTTCTTCAGAGTCAAGTAGGGACCCTAACTAGGAGATCCTACAGCAAGCTTTACATTCCCTCATTATAACTTTAATGACACTTTAAAGGTTATTTGACTTTTCTGACTTCCCAGAAAGTGTGTGAACTCTGCTAAGGTAGAAGCCTATTTTGTGAACAATTGTATCTTCAATGCTTTATATAGCTCAAAGTAACCTCTCTGTAGGGTAGAAAGGTCTCCTCATTTGAAAAATGAGAATACAGCAGCTACTTCACAGTCTGTAACTTAAAAAATAACAATTATTTTCTTAGAACCCACGATTTTATGGGGCAGAGACTTGGGCAGGGCTCAGCTGGGTGATTCTTCTGTCCCATGTAGTGCTGACTAGGATCACGTGGTGGTATTCAGCAATTAGATAGATGGTTTGGTCTGGAGAGCTTCACTCACATACCTGACACCTTGATGAGGATGGATGGAACGCTGGGATCAGCTGGCACTGTCAACCAGCATGTCAACATGACACCACTCCTGCATGGCAATCTCAGAGTGGTAAGACTTCTTACATGGTAGTTCAGTGCTATCAGAGTGTTCCAAGAGGCCTGGGCAGAAGCTGCAAGGCTTCTTATGGCTTAGCTTCAAAAGGCCCAGAACCACCACAGAGTTTTTTGTACTCCTATTAGGTGTTAATTAATTTTAAAGGGATTCAAAGATGATTAAGAAGGTCTCTTTCTCAATTACTGATATGTGCTTCCTAGAATAGAATATACTTATTGCCCCTGATGGCTCAGTGGTAAAGGGTCCACCTGACAATGTAGGAGATGTGAATTCTAACCCTGGGTTGGAAAGATCTCCTGGAGAAGGAACTGGCGACCCATTCCAGTATTTTGACTGAGAAATCCCATGGACAGAGGAGCCTGGCAGCCTGCAGTCTATGGGGTCACAAAAGAGTTGGGCGTTGCTTACCAACTAAACAATTGCCCAACTCTTAGCCTTCACAGTCCCCTCAACCTACTTTTCTATATGCATGCTCTCTTCCCTTTAATGAGATTGCCAGTATGCATATGCGCTTCAGACAGGTATTAGATCAATATTTAATAGTCACGTTCTCTTTTGTTAATAAGACATCTACATTAATTTTTAATTGTCACTAACGTTAAGTTAGACTTCCCTGGTAGCTCAGACGGTAAAGCGTCTGCCTACAATGCGGGAGACCCGGGTTCGATCCCTGGGATGGGATAGATCCTCTGGAGAAGGAAATGGCACCCCACTCCAGTACTCTTGCCTGGAAAATCCCATGGATGGAGGAGCGTGTTAGGCTGCAGTCCATGCGGTCGCAAAGAGCTGGACGCGACTGAGCGACTTCACTAAACGTTAAGTTAGTGTCCCTAACGTAAGTAGCTCGGACACGACTGAGTGACTAAGCGCACAGCACAATGTAAGTTTACCGTAACTCTCAACTCTAGGGCTCTGATTCTTATGAACTCGAATCTACAGTCAGCCATTGCGAGTCGCCTCTGTCATGACAGCGCCACTTCAGCAAGAAGGTGGGGCCCTCGGTTTCCGCCACCGGCCTCTGACTGCTTTAGAGGACTCAAGTGCGCTGGGCCCTACACGCCAAGGTCTCCTCCGGTCCTCCCATCAGTGAAGTGTCGCTCTGGCGCCGCGTCCACGGCCTCTCCATCTCTATGACACTCCTTTCCTGTTTTCTAGTGTTGCATGATGGGAGAAACAGTCAGCTTTCCGGGAGCCAGGCCCGGGGAACGGCTTCATTCGGGACTCCATTTCCCGGCGTGCCTCGCGGCGGTCGGTCCGCCCTCTGGCGGGAGACCGGTTCCGGTTGCATCAGCGTGGGGTCCGCGGCGAAATGAGGTTGTTCGTGAGTGAGGGCGCTCCGGGGAGTCTGCCTGTGCTGGCGGCGGCCGGGAGGGCCCAGCGCAGAGCGGAGCTGCTCATCAGCACTGTGGGCCCAGAAGGTAGTCGGGCTGGTGCTGATGGGCGGTGGGTGAGCCGGACGGGACCGGAACACGCAGACGACGACCCCACAGTTGTCTTCGCCAGCACTGCAGGCCCCAGCACCGCGCACTGCCGCCAGCCTCCTCCCGCGCTATGCTTCAGCACCCCTTACCTTCTTCCTAACCAGTGACATCTTCCGTCTTCCCCTCATTCGCCTCGGTGTGCCCTTCTCTCATCTCTGGCCTCCCCTCCTTCGTCTCCCAGGACCTCGTCTCACCCCAGTGACCCTCTTTCCCCTCTCCAGCCTTCTCCCGCACCTGCTCGGTACCCTCCCCACCCGTCCTTCATATGCTAACCCCCAGCTTTTCCTAGGAAAGCCTCCTTTTCTCTCCTGAGCGCACAGTCACACGCACTCTCTTCGCTTTACCTCTCCTCATTCCCAGCCATCTGTCTGTGTGGCTCCCAAGCGGTTCTCTTGTCAGACCTCCCAGTTCTCTTAATTTTGTTCTCCCGGGGTAGCTCAGATCATTTTCAGATATGCTTGTGCTCAGGCTGTCAGGCGTGTCCAACTCTTTATGACCCTATGGATTATAGCCCGCCAGGCTCCTCGGTCCCTGGGATTTTCTAGTCAAGGATGCTGGGGTGGGGGCCATTTCCTTCTCCAGGGACTCTTCCTGACACGGGGATCGAACTCATGTCTCCTGCATCGGCTGTGGATTCTTTAGCACTGAGCCACCTGGGAAAACATCAGACGCCCTAGTTATTTTCAGTTGTTGCAGTTCTTGGCTGCCCACTACCCCAGGACCACCACGTCCTCTCTGCAGCCCCCTTCTGTTTCTAGCTGGCAGTCTCAGCTGAGCACCCGCTTGTCTCTCCAGCTCATTCTGGACCCACCCCCTTTCAGAGGTCCTATCCTGGACCCTCTCCTTGTGACTGCCCATCTCCCCCGCACCCCCTCTGCCCCTGCAGTCCCCCCGCGACCGTGAAGATGTCCTTTTAAGTTGACATAGTATTTCTTCTCTCTGTTTTTCACCCGTCTTCGTCCTCTGTCAGAGTGTGTGGTCCCATTCCTGACCTGGCCTAAGGCCCCTGTCTTGCAGCTGGATAGTGGCAACTACCTCTTCTCCACCAGTGCAATCTGTCGGTCAGTATTGGTCCTTGATGCAGGGAGGTGGCTGAATAAAATAGGGTTACTGTCCTCTGTGTGGTCTTATTTACAACCGGGGTGAGAAATGGACTCGCCAGCGAGCCCCTTTAATTCTCCCTCTGTTGCTGTCTCCCTGGATAGGTACTTCTTTCTGTTATCTGGCTGGGAGCAAGATGACCTCACCAACCAGTGGCTGGAATGGGAAGCCACAGAGCTGCAGGTAGGGCTGAGGTGTGGGGGGTGGTGGGGGGTTGTTGCTCTGCGTGGCGGTCCTGACCCATGTCTCCTGTGTTTCAGCCAGCCTTGTCCACTGCCCTGTACTATTTAGTGGTCCAAGGGAAGAAGGGAGAAGATGTTCTTGGCCCAGTTCGGAGAGCCCTGATGCATATTGATCACAGCTTGAGTCGTCGGAGCTCTCCGTTCCTGGCTGGGGTGAGTTGGGCCTTGAGATCGGGGTTGGGAAAAGCTGTATGGTAAAAGAATTAAGGAGGAAGACTGTATTCAAAGTTCAACCCCGCCTCCCCCAGCTGCCCCTTACTAGCAGTGTAACCTTTAAAACTCATAAACTCTTTAATGTTCATTGTTTCTTGTCTTTGAAGTGGGAGTAATATTAGTACCCTTCTCAGTGGGTTATTGTGAGAATTGAGATAATCTAAAATGCTTAACACAGCGCTTGATACTTAATAAGTGTTTAGGAAATGTACAGTATTATTATATCCATGGGAAGAAATGGAGTGTCTCACCTGTGTACTTTTTCTTTTTGTTTCTCAACAAAGGAGACAGAATCTCTAGCTGATATTGTTTTGTGGGGAGCGCTCTACCCGTTACTCCAAGACCCATCGTATCTCCCTGGTGAGAACTGTGCACATCACTTCCCCACCAGCCTGAGGAACTGGGTGTAGGGGTTACAGAGTGGGCGGTAGACTATTGAGGACCCATTTTGAGCTGTAACTTGACAGGGCAAGTATAGCAGAAAGATGGCTGAGGGACCCCGGGAGGCAGCTGGAGAAACTTCTCGAAGAAGGGGAGGCGGTGCCTTCCAGCCACCCATTCTGTCTTGTTGATTGTTTCCCTTCCCCCCACACCTGCAGAGGAGCTGGGGGCCCTACACAGCTGGTTCCAGACGCTGAGTTCTCAGGAGCCGTGTCAGCGAGCTGCAGAGACTGTGCTGAAGCGGCAGGGTGTCCTGGCCCTCCGGCCCTACCTCCAGAAGCAGCCCCAGCCCAGCTCCCTTGAGGGCAGGGTTGTCAGCAATGAGCCTGAGGTTTGGACAGAGAAGAGGGGTACCCACACAGCCTCAGTGCCTGAGGTGGCGGGGGGTGGCTTGGGGAGAGAGTTTGAGCACAGCTGTTAGCTCTGTCGGTTCTTGGAGAGAATTTCCTCACTCTGTGTGCCCTCCTTACCTGGTGAGGGATACTGTCCACTCTTATAGGAGGAGGAACTGGCTACTCTGTCTGAGGAGGAGATTGCCGTGGCTGTAGCTGCTTGGGAGAAGGGCCCTGAAAGCTTGCCCCCGCTTCGGCCGCAGCAGAATCCAGTGTGAGTAGGCACAGACTGAGTGGGGCTTGGTTTCTTATGTGGAAATTGTTGACAGAGCCAGTACCTGCCTGTCTAATCCCCATTGCTGACTG